AATCCCAGCATCTCACACTCTAGATTCAGCCACCTCTGAAAAAGCCCCATGACTGGATGAGGCTTTGAAGGGACATCTAGACCCAAACCATAACAACTATCAATCTTAGCATCATGGTGTAATGTTGACCAGTATCAATAGTATTTCTTCACCATATATGAGGTGAAGAAATTGAAAGATTATACTATACATTTCTCTATTGTGAACTTGCAACATTTTTTTAGTAATCTCAGCTTTGGTCTTATGAATAGTTCCTGTGCTGGTCAGCTGGTGCTCTTTTACCAAATGAAACATCAATGGGTAACTAGTGAACCAATTGTTGAATGTGATGTTTGGGTTTTTTTGAAATAGGTGCAACAAGTCTGTTCATAAAGTCATAACATCATTAATAGACAAGTTAGGCATAAATATTATAGGCAGTCAGACAGGGCTAGGCCTCGATGGAGTCAATGCAGAAGATGAGAACACATCAAAACTGAGGCTAGAGATGTTTCTAAAGAAGATTAAAGTCACAATGGCCATATTTACATACTTCCCTAAAGGACAAAGACAAACTTGAGATTATTGGTACCACCTTTTTGAGATTTCCCATATAATAGACCATTATCTCACTGGGGGTAGGCCATCCTCTCCCTTAGTCTTAGGACTAAGACTAAGACCACTAACAAAGCTTTTGTAAATAAGGTGGGAAAGAGGGGTTGAAGGGAAGGGAGAGGAATGGGAAAAAAAAAGAATCAAGATATGTCATGCACAGGTACAAATTCTGTATGATGAATGTGATCATTATGTATATCTAAAACATATCAATAAAGTTAATTTAAAAAAGATTAAGACTACTAAGACTAGAGTAAAAACAAGTCTAAGACTATAGAATATCAACCAAGGATAATGATGTCATCCATATGACCTTGCTAGGTGCCCCGCTTCACTATTAAATCAATACTAAGGGGGCTTGGTGGCAACCCACTTTTGGGTCCCCTCCTGTCTCTCAGGAGCCATCTCTCCCAATAAATTTTCCTACTCTTAACCTGTTGTTCCCTAGAATTCATTCTTCAATTTTGGGGAACATGAACTTGGTATATCTGACATCTAGCAAGTTGGGAGTTGTATTTTCCCCCTTTATTAATAAGATTTATTACTGCACGAATAAAGACCCAATGGCTGAGTTCCAGGATATATTTCTAAATTCAAGGTGTAAGACATCTTTGCATCTATCAAGGCATATATTTTTATACCATATTTGGAAGGTTTACTTGGCATATATTGCTGAAAGCTTCAACAGCCACGAAATGATGCAAGTTGTTCATCAAACTGTCATGTATTTGGACACTGTATAAATTATTTGACAGTTCAAAACAAGGCTTTCAAAAAGTGAGTGACTAGCAGCCATATTGTCAGATTTTTTTTTCTTTCTTGGCAGGTCTTTTTGTTGTCAAAACATTGGCAATTTTGAAGGAAACCAAATCTGAGTGTCATTATTGTTCTAAAAATCTCAACACCACATTTGTCTCTTCTCCACAAATCCTTTAGATTCTGACAATTAGAATGGTAAAGTCTTGCTATGAAGGCTTTTAGTTCACATAGTGAGATGTCATGATAAATATATTTTTGAATACTGATATTGATCCAAATAGAATGTTTAACTTTATTTCATTATTAGTGTATTTCAAAACATCAGGTAGCATATCGTCTGTTACAAACAATTTCCAGCATTGAATTGCAGTGCTGGCATTCTGTCCAACAGGTTTCACCCCTGGCAAGAACCAAATAACATTTTCTGACCTAGTTCTAACATTGGATTGTTCAGGTATACATGACTATCTTGTAGCATTTTTACTAGTCAAATATTTATTTATATTACTGCTTCCTCATCTGAATCAAGGTCTTCATTCTATACTTCTGTATCTGTCATATCTTGCTAACTTCTTCAGCTTACATTATCGAAGTTATCATTGGTAGCCAAGTCACTGGATTACTCACTTTCAACCTCCTCCCAAAGTTGTAAAAGCAGATTTTCCTGTGATATTGTGTTGAATTGGGTTAATTCTATAAAAAATAAATTATTTAATAAAAAAATTATCAATACACAAAAAGGTAACACAACACAAAAAATGGGTAAAATGCACCAGTTTACATTTTGACACACGTGCATATACCTTGTTATTCGTAGTACTGAGTGGGTGAATGCAAAGATTACTTACTGTATTACTCCAGCACAGCTACTGAGATGCAGAGCTGGGTACCTTGATGCTAAAGTTCATATTTTCACTAAAAAATATGCTATTGGGCCGGGGATTTAGCTCAGCAGCGCTGCACCTGCCTTGCAAGCTCAAGGTCCTGAGTTCAATCCCTGGCACCAAAAAAAGAAAGAAAGAAAAGAAAAGAAAAGAAAGAAAGAAAGAAAGAGAAAGAAAGAAAGATAGAAAGATAGATATGCTATGGGGGTCTGCAACCCAATATGAGGAACTGTATTAATAGATCAGTGTGCAATTGCCTAGCTTTCTTGTAAATCATTTCCTCAGACATGCTGTCACCTGCTGTTTTTCACTAATTCATATGCAAAGCAATTTTTCAATTTCTTCCAATGTCTGTGAATGTTACTTACTTTACTTTAGAAACAACTGGTGATCTCTTTCTTATTTTTCACGGTGGTTGGGATTATCGTTCTGGGCATCTTGAACAGAAGAGCAAGATCAGTCACACTTTTACCACTCCTATACTTAGTTATGATCTTCTTTTCAAAAGTTGCTCTTATTAACTACTTTTTTGGCTTAGTAGTATCCCTCTTAATCTTTTTTGTGACCTATGATTAGCACAGAAGTACAAGATAGTAATGATAAACATGTGAGAGTCCTGCACTGTTCCTAAGCTGTGAGACTGACACATGGACCAGTTTGATGAAAACAGAAGCACACCAAGTGGCAAGTGAAGGAACAGCTCTTGTCAGGTGGTGTGACACAGGAGTTCTAGCAAGTGCAACAAGTTCTAAGCAAGTGCCAAATTTTTCTCATCAAAATGCCAGAATACTGTGTTTGAGGTATTCTGAAGCCAAGTACCAAAGTATGACTGTATTGCAAAAGTGCACATACACTTTCAATCCAGAATGTCTGTCTGTGTGCACACAAAAACCTCCTACATATCAAATAAAAATTTTTAAAAGAATAAAGATTAAAAACACGGCCAGTAAGAGATGCAAAGATTTTAATCATACAAGGAAATGCAATGAACATGTAAGACAGAATTTTTTTTTCTTTGAGACAGGGTCTTGCTTTGTAGTTCAGGGTAACCCTGAACTATGTAGCCCAACCTGGTCTTGAACTCGCAGCAATGGTCCTGCCTCAGCCTTCCAAGTGCTGGGATCACAGGTATGTACTACCACACCCAGCCTACACATGTACCATGTTTTTGGGTTTTTTTTCCTGGTACTGGGAATTGAACTCAGGACCTTGTGCTTGCCAGGTAGGTGGGGCGCCACTGAGCTACAACCCTGGCCCGTAAGACAGCATTTTAAAGTTAATAAAGTGGCAAAAAATAAAAGCTGACAATGCTAAATATTGGTGACAACACAGAACTGTAATCTGTATTATGCACTGTAGGTAAAGGATAAATTATTACAGCCAGTATGAATACATACAAGCATATATACCCATATGTATGAATTTTTACTTTATACACTTAGGATAATGATTAAAGGTAGTAATTACCTTGAGATTTATCATTTTAAATTACTGTTCCTGCTCTCTGAAAATTTTTAAATGGTTCCCATTCGCTGAAAAACCTATTATAGGCATAGGTGCTTTATGTACTTAACATTTCATTCATTAAAACAAATCTGGTGTAGATATCAGTCTCCTTTTTTTGATGTGTAATTCCAGTCTCTGAGAGATTGTCATTTGCTTAAGACATCTGTACCTTTAAGTGGAAAAGCCAGGATTCAGGCCCAGGTCTTCCAACTCTGTCTCTCCCACAGTGGTACAATATTATGATATACATCCTGATGTTTAACCCAACTGAAGCACTCTTGGGAATATGTCTAGTTTTCCTGGAAATAGTCTCAATCAAGATCATCCTGTAATGGGGGGGAAGGAAAAAAAGAATGGAAAAATGCAGAGTAAGCAAGACCTCTCCTGCAAAAAAAAAAAAAAAAAAGTAATTTCACCAACTCACAAGTTCCCCCGGGGAGTCCCTGCCCCCCAAAAATCTTTGGTTCCCAAGTTAAGAATATCTACTTTCTAGGGTTAAAAAACAGGCTAGGTTCAATGACAGAATGTAAAAGAGTTTCAAATTTCTTTGGCCAGAGTTGCTGTATCAACCAATACATAAAATGTTATACAGTGCTTGTGTTCAGAAATCTTTTGGTTTGCCTTAGTAAAACCGATGATTTTTTTTCCTATAATGAGCTCTCCACTCCAAAACCACATATAAGGAAAATAATGAAATCAATGGTTATGAGACTAGTAGAATTAATTTGATTCAACTGATCTTGAGGGCAAAGGCTACCTATGTTGGGTATGAAGATGGAGGATAAGAAACTAAAAATATTAGGCCTAAAAACACAGCTTCTGGCCTTCAATAACTTGTTTCCGTGGAATTTGAGGTGACAGAACCAGGAAGGGTAACAGAATTCGGAGTCGTCGGCTTCCAGAACCCGTGAGAACTCCGAGTCGGTCTAGAGGAAAGGTTTCTTCTCAAAGTTGTGAGAGTACAATACTGGCCGCCACCTACCGCCCTCCAGGGAACGGACTGGAACACTCGCCGGAAAGTGTAGGCTTCATAGATGCTCAGAGGAACCCAGGCTGAAGGGAGGAGCCATGGGAAGCCGTCGGAAGTGAGCGCGCCGAGATTCGTAGCGCCGGCGAGCCGCGCAGGTGCAGTAGAGACCTCCTGCGTTTGGGTGGGGCTGGAACTGGGCATAGCTAGGCCCCTCTGGCGCGCTGACGCGACGGGTCGCGGTGTGGACGCGCAGGCGCAGCGGTGACTGAAGGGTAGATAGGCGGGGCCGCGCATGCGTCTGGAGTGTTGGTAGCGGCGGCGGCGGCAGCGGCAGCGGGAGCAGTAGCAGCGGCAGCGGCAGTTGTGAGGGGGTTCTAGGAAGATGGTGGTGATTAAAGAATTGTGAGTGCGTCGGTGGGCGCGGGCGGGAGTGTAAAACGACGGTGGTAGAAGATTCACTGGCTGAAAAGTGGCAGAATGTTCCTAAAACTGAGTGCCTCAGGCCGGTCGCTTCCTGCGCTCGACCCCCTCCCCCCGGCAAGTACCCCGGGCCACTCGAGGACCCCGCGCGGCGCCCAAGAACCCCAGGCGTTGCCATGGTAACAGCCGTCCTCTTTGGGGTGCAGGCTGCTGGGTCCCAGCGTGTGGCTTGGGAAGGTGCGGCCGGGAGTTTCCGCCGGGACCCACCTCTTCCCCTGCCCCTTCCCCCCCCCCCCCCCCCCCCCCCCCCCCCCCCCCCCCCCCCCCCCCCCGTCTGGGCCCACCTTCAGGTCCGCCGGTGGGACCCAGCCGTAATCCCAGACGGGGGAGGCGCGGTGGTCTGACTGTGATTTGTGGTCTGGGGTGGAGCCTTGTATACCGCGGGAGATGGGATTGTCAGGTAAAGGCAGCTCTGGTGTCAGGATGTTGGCGCCCTAAAGTTCCAACTGGAGCCGGGATCCCGCAGAACTCGCGCTTCCCTGGGATGCTCAGTTGATTTGACAGTAGAGCCGTCTCCTTACCCCGAATCTCAGTTCCCGCATCTTTAAGATGAGGCGATTTTCGGGGCCCCAACTAGTTCACAGGGTTGCGGTGAGTTGCTAGACACTTGGACGACAGACCGGCAAAGTAATTTTCTTGAAGCTTTTCTCATCACAGGACGTCTGGTTGGCAGTGTCCCGGTGTCACACCTGGTTCTTGTCCTCAGTATCTCTTGGGTAACTAGGGATTTTTAGAATAGCCTGTTTTTTTTTTTTTCGTCCCAAGTTGTTTCTCATTTCAAATTCTTAAATAGAAAGTTCCTTGGTCTAATTTAGCTGTCTCCAGACACTTTATTTTTATGAATTTTGTTTGTTTGTTTTGAGACAGGGTTTCATTATGTAGCTCAGGCTGGCCTTGAACTTGAGGCAATCCTGCCTCAGCCTCCCAAGTAGTGGGATTACAAATGTGCTCCACCGAGCCGGGCCAGACACCTTATTATTTTCCCTGTTATCGTCCATAGCCAGGTATGTTGAGCACTCCTATAAACTCAGCGAGACAGGAGAATGACAAATTCAAGCATAGCCTGGGCAACTTAGTGATTTACCCAAAAAAAGAAAAGTCATTCAAGCACTTTTTGGCTTAAAACCACCTGCAAAACCTTACATATTTTTTTTCTGCTCTGATCTCATTTACTACTTTTCTTTTGCCCATGAAAGCCTCTTTTTTTTTTTTTTAAACTGTTCCTCCACTACTCTACAAATATGTAAGCTCAATTTAGGGCCTTTCACTTTGTTTTTGTTCTGTCTGAAGCGCTGTTTCTCAGCTCACCAACTCTGCTCCTTCCAGGTCTTTGCTCTTGTTTCACCTTCTCAGGGAATTTCTGTTCTCCCAGCTGTAGTCTCTACTACCTGTAAGCTCTATGAATTTGCCCATGTTGCTCACTGTTCTGTTTTTCACTTTCAGAGTAGTCCTTTGCACATAAACATTAGTTAGATAAATTCATGAAAAAATTACAGCGTTTGCCAGTGACAGATCCTGGGAAAGGACATATTTTTGCCTTTTGCTGCGAAGTTTTGCAATTAAAGCTTGTTTATAGTACTGAACTTTGGGTTTCTATAATTTTTTTCTTCCAAATCTTTTATAACAATGTATCATGCAAGTATCATTTATTACTCTACTGCCTATCTTATGTATATAGTGGCAGATGTTAAGACTAATGGAGGAGTTAAGATGGGTGGAAATGAACTTGGCCCAAGCCACATAGCCAGAATTAAGAGAACTGATTTTTGATCAGATATCTAGACATTTTTATTAGAGTTAACTTTTTCCCTCCAAAAATGTGAATTAAGTGTTCAACAGGTACCTTTGTCTGCTGTGTAGTAGTATCAAGCTAACTCATGGAAAACAGTACCCACTGGGAATTTGCTTTTTTTTTTTCTGTGCGGGGGATTGAACTTGGGACCTTGTACTTGCAAGGCAGGCAGCAAAACCACTGAGCTAAATTCCTTGTCCTGCACACCATGCTTTTTGCAAACCTTTACCTTCATTATGTAAATTTAAGTGTACTGAGGTAACAAGTGTTGAGGTATGCCTAAAGTTTAATTTTTCCTAAGGATGGTACATTGTTTCTTTTTATTATTCCTTTTGTGTGTCTCTCAGATACGTTTTTTCCTCTCAGACTTTTTTTCAGGTGGAAGCTGTTTTTAACTTAAGTGTTTCCAGTGTCTAGTACAGTGTTTGGTCTAGAATTGTGTAAATACTCAGTGGTATTGAATTAAAAAACTATTCCTTCAACTCTCCATTTAACTTTCTAAGATTATTTTTGGTCAGGAGTGAATAGGTCATTCCTATATGAAGATGCTGGTAAACCAAAAAACCTTGGCAAATGCTTGTTTTATAAAATTTCATCCACTTTTAATTAAAAGGTTAAAAAGTGAGAGGAGGCAAATTCCTTTTCATTTTATTACTTACACAGTACATGAATTAACTATTGAGGACTTTGTAGCTGGTTCCATTTGGAAAGATATTTTAATAAGGTTTTTCAGAGCAGATTGTAAATTTTCACATGACTCCTTTGAAAGACGAGTATTGCTATTAGCTTAATGATAGAAAAATCAAAACCTGTTCCTTTTCTATTTACTTTTTACTAAGTAAATCTTGAAGTTATTTGACTCATCTTCCTCAATGTCTAATCACTTTCCTTTTGTGAAGTTTCTCTGAAAGTGTTAAACAAAAATGGAGATCTTACTGCTAGTGAGCATTTTATAAATTCTCAGCTGTGATTCTTTGGTTTTGTGAAACTTTAGGGAAAACTTCTTTCTACTTCCTTCCTCTCTACAGTTCCACATTTTGGGTCAGGCCTTTATTAATCCTTGAAGAGCCTCCTTAAAGACTTCTTATTCTCCTTCTCATTGTTTCTGACTACCTACAGATATGTTCTTTAGTAGTTATGTCATTTAGCTCTTGGAACAAACTTTCTAATTAATAAATTTCATACCACTGTTTTCAAGCCCTGAAAACGTGTCCCAACTTGTATCTTTCTAGTGTCTCCTCTCTCTGTTTATGTCTCCTTTACTAAGACATCAAAACTGCCCTGAGGGACAGCTAAAATGATTAGGAATTTTTAGCTCTGGAGGGACAACAAACTTGTTCTTTGTGAGAATAGATATTAACTATGTGTTTTAGGGATATTCATCATTTTTAGGTGAACATTCAGTCAGATATTTGAGAATAAAAGGAGAAAGGTGGAGAGTGCAGCTGAAACGTAAACTAAATGTAATGTTTTGGGTTAATTATCTTGTTTCACATTTTTATAGAGAAAATTAACCAAGATTGTCTATGTTGAAAAGATTGTTGGTAATACAAACAATAAACTAAATGTCTCTTGCTTTAGAGAAGAGTAAAAAGAGAGAGAGGGCAGCTGAAGGAAAGAAAAATTGGAATGAATAAAACCATTGGGAATTTTCTACAAAATGAGGATTGAGATGACTGTGAGGTTGTTTTTGTTCCCCCTTTCCTTTTAAAAGTCTAAGAAGGACTGAGGTGGGGGGGGAGAGTATGCTATCTTGGAACCTAGCTATTATAAAACAGTTGATACATAGTTGTTATATGGGAGAGGCCTTGATTTTTTTGAAATTTATGGTAAAAATAAGTTAAAAGATTTTTATGTTAAAACCTGGAGCTAAAATGCAGTATTCTGATAAAATAATCACAGTATTTTTTTGGATTCATCTATATTTTGGGTAAAATGAAAGTATCCTTTTGATGTGTTCAGTAATGTATTCTTTTGGACAGGATCAAACACATATCACCTTTATACCGATTCTGTACTGGAAAAGGTTACTGTATTTGTATGGGTCCAGGTAGTTTCCTTAAAGTTTTTTAATTCTAAAGGAGTCCTATTTACTACCTTATTAGATTTCAATACTTTGGTAGTAGAGGAACAGTTTGGAGAAGTATTTGTTCATGAAATTCAAGATGTGTATTCTGTGAAAAGTTATCATTTAAAAAATGCATAGCATATAGGTTGGTGAATATAGTCATACTAAACATTTCATGAGGACAACTAATTAGCCAGCCTGCAAATAATGCATTCTGTACCCTGCAATTTTAAGTGATGAGTTTTGTTTTGTTTTGTTTTCCATTTCTTTATTCCTCACAAGAATTGCTGCAACTGCATCTTTGGGGACCTGGTACGATGATGTTCAATGCAAATTGTGCTCCAGGAATTGTAGTTTTATTTTTACAGTTTAAAAACCCTTGCTACAAATGTAGGCGTTTGGGCATTGGAAAGACTTCTTCCATAAATGACATTCTTTTGTCTTCAGATTTAAGAGTTCTGTCAGTGGTATCATTGGAATTAAACTATAAACTCCTTTATGTCTAAAGATACATATTTTAAGGCCATTTCATATGTAATATATATTTTTTGTCTTTTCAGCCGTGTGGTTTTGCCATGTTCTGTTCAGGAGGTAAGTCTTTCTTGCTCCTGCAACATTTTATTGGTATAATTTACTTCATTGTGTTCATCTGAACATGTCTTTGTAGTATTTATTTTTTCAGCACATCAAAGATAATAAATGACAAATGAATTTGTTATTTTGCCTTGTTTTGGAAAAGCTTAAAGAATATAATTTAACCAGTGCAGGACCTCTTTCTGTACCATCCCAGAGAAATGAGACTCCAGCCTAAACTTAAGTACCTTTTCAGCTGTTTAGGGAAGTAATTTCCTGTACTGTGGGATAGTATATGTGTGTGTATATGTGTGTGTGTGTGTGTGTGTGTGTGTATATAAAATTTTAATTTTATGAGTACTGTAGGATGTTTTTAAACTGATAACAGATTCTACACTTGATCTTAGCCAAAAGGCTGAGAAGCGATATGTAAGATATTTTTAAGCATTTGTCTTTAAGCCAGAATCTGCTTTCCTATACTGCTTGGATATTGCTGATACTTTATTTCACTTGAGCAATAGGAATTAGGCCTGCTCTGTCTTACCTGTTGTAACCCTTTGGGTTTCTTATGGTAGCCCTTTCTGCCAACTCCTGTACCCCTCAAGACCTTTCATTCCATTTTAAAAAGTCACGGTGTTAAATGTTTCCAACCCCTTCATTTGTCCTTGTATACCATACCAGGACCTCTAGACTTCTTCACCATCTAACCTAATCACTACATGTGCTATAGTTGTCACTTTGAAAACAGTATTCCAGACATGTTCTAACACATAACTGTGAGAGTTTATTGTCTATTTGATCTGCTCATGATGTAGAAATACATCACCTATAGAGAATCTGTGTCTTGTACTTGTAGGATAGCCAAAAATGAGGATAAAAGTAGAAAAGCTGGTGGAGAAAGTAAGACACAGTGAAGAACTCATAAAACCCTCTGGGCCCTTTGTAACTTGCATGCAGCTCTTACCAGTTATCTGGTTTTCCTAGAGCTGACAGTAGATCAAAAGCAGTGAATTGGAAGTAAGACAAAATAAACTGATAACCTAAGAAGCGACAGCTGACAGAAGACAGGGAAAATGCAGAAACTAAAAAGGAGTAAAACTGTCTGGCACTCTTTAGTGTAGACTTGGACAAAGCTGTATGTATCTCAATAATGCCTGAGGTTTCACTGTATTACAACACACTAGACACAGACCAGGCACCCTGTTCTTTACTGTATTTGCACAATTGATTGTTTAAACTCCTGTGTGGAACTTGACATTGTTAGATTTTTTTTTTTTTTCATTTTGGTTTTAGCTGGTTGGATCAGCTTTTGAAGTCTTTGAGTCTTGGTATTTTCACCCAAATAATCTTTTTTTTTTTTTCTGGTACTGGGAATCAAACTTAGGACTGTGTGCTTGCCAGGTAGGTGCGGCACCACTGAGTTACATTCCCAGCCCTCACCCAAATAATCTTAGCTCTTTTTTTTTGGTACCGGGGATCGAACTCGGGACCTTGCGCTTGCGAGACAGGCGCTGAAACCACTGAGCTAAATCCCCAGCTCTATAGCTTTTTGTTATATCAAGATTTAATAAGCATGCATCCTGTCTCTAAATTATTTTTAGAAGAGAAAAGCCTAGTAGCATGCCACAAATTATCAGTTCACTAGCAACTTTTTTGAATACAGTTGTTTAGATATTTCCATGTGAATTTTTGTTACTGTGTTCCTGATCAAGACCAAATTTAACTTTTGGTTTAGGAACATTTTAGTCTTTTAAAATATGACAGTATTAAAAAGTATATTTTGAAGGACTTAAGCATCATGACATTACTAGACCAACTCTAGTGTGGGGTCATGGAAAACCTCTAAAAGAGGAAACAGCTTTCAGACACTTATTTGGGGGAGCACTTAAGATATTTGTTTGGTCCCAGCTCCTAAATCCTTCCAAATTGAGTATGATTATATGTTTTTAAAAATAAAATTTCCCTGAAAGTTAGCATCCTATCTCTGTGAGCTTTTTACATCTGAATATTTCCTGAGCTTATGGTGACCTTCATTTTTTTTTCAAAAATTTTTAAGACAGTCAGGTGGCATAGACTTGTAATTATAATACAAAAGCAGGGCGATCGCAAATTCAAGCCCAGCCTGGGCAGTTTAGCAATCTAGTAAGGCTCTGTCTCAAAATAAAAAGGGCTGGGATATAGCATAGTGTGAAGGCTCTGGATTCAATCCCCAGTACCAAAAAAAGTTGGTTTTGAATTATAAGTTCTTAGAGGTAGTTTTTATGGTTTTTCTTTGCATATATATTTATAAAGAAGAAAGATACTTTTTAGGTTGTCTTCATTGAAAGAAAGAAGTTTTGTTAAATTTGAAGAGATTGGAGATAGTACCAGGGTTTGGTCATGAAACAAATTAGACTATGGGAACTTTGCTTTACCTGTTGAGAACTGCAGGTGGTATAGAACAATACTGAGTACTGGTGCATACTGCTGAGAATTTGGTTCATTTTAAATGAAATAGATATGGCTGTCAGCAATTTCCTGCCTTTTATGATAATATTTGTATACTTACAATACTTTAAAAAGTTTATGTTTACTGAAGAACTTTGTTAAAAAGTTCTGATCCTGGGTACTCAGTGCTGTTTGGGTTTAGCTGGGCAAGGGCCAAATTGGGCATATCATATATAAATCTTAAGGTTTACTAAAATTTTTCTGTTACAGTTCTTTGGATCTGCAGGCTTTTATTATACTTTATTTCCTTCCTATTTATTAATAAGATCAAAATTCTGGTTGCTCAGTTTTAATTGACAAAGTGACAGTTGTATTCTTGCTATGCCTTCCTCAAAATATTGTGAATCTGAGATAATAGAAGTGAAAATAACTTGGGAAGTACAGATGTGCCTTGTTCAAAAATTGAACCAAGTGTCAGGAAGTTTTCTTGATGAATGGATAACATATATTAAAGCAACAGAATATTTTAATTAAAGCTGTATGATCTGGTGTTTGTCTTTTTAAACATTCTAACTTGAGTCATGTTTTCATATAGAACATAGTTGCTGAACGGTTTGGATATTTACTTTTGTATATCTTCTATATTAAGATTTTAGCATAGAAAATTTCTGTAGTTACTACTGACTTGTTAAAATTCTGTGTTCTTCAAAATTTCAGTATCAGGTTGGACAGCTTTACTCTGTTGCAGAGGCTAGTAAGAATGAGACTGGTGGTGGTGAAGGAATTGAAGTCTTAAAGAATGAACCTTATGAGAAGGATGGAGAAAAGGGACAATTTACACACAAAATTTATCACCTAAAGAGGTAAGTGTTCATATTTGATGCATAGTCATTATATTAAATAATTACCATGACTAATGAGCTTATTAAGCATGTAATGTCTATCTTACTAGTAGAAAAGCTGAGGTATATTTTTTTATTTCAGTGTGGTATGTGTGTTAATTTGTTGCGAGGACATCCCCCCCACTGGTTATCCTTAAATTATAAAAGAAATGTATCTGTGTATAATAAAAGTTCAGGCACCAGAGAAGTCTGTAAAATAAAAACTTGGTCTTCACCGTTTGTCATCAAACACCCGTAACCAGTGAAACACTAGAAATAGTTAAGGGATTACCCTCCTGGATCATTTTCTGTACATGTACAAAGATTTTGAAAAATAAGCATATAGAGAGTTGTGTCACTCGTGTCTTTTTTTTTTTTTTTGGTACCTAGGATCAAACTTGGGACCTTGCGTTTGCAAGGCAGGCGACGGAACCACTGAGCTAAATCCCTGGCCACTTGTGTCTTTTTGAATGTTCTACAAATGAACTCATACTGTACAGTTTACTTTATTTTTCATGCAAGGATATATCATGAATATCCTCCATATTTTTATTTAATATCTATGTGATTCTTTTTAAAGCTGAGTAAAAGTTTTAGTTTGGACATAGCGTAGTTTACTTAAGCATTCTCTAAATGGTAGGTTTTCTTAAGGATTTTAAGTATTTTCTTTTTCTTTTTTTTTTTTTTTTTTAGGATTTTAAGTATTTTCCAGTGTCTTTTACAAATACTTTTTCTCTGAACTTGGTTGTACATGTCTTTTTGCCTTAGATAAATTTTTCTAGGAGAATTTAATAAAAGGATTGGTGGGAGGACATGTTAATTTTAATTTTGATATTACTGGCACATTACCCTCCAAGAGTTTGATAGTGTTCATTTTTTCCATATTTTTTTTTAATTTTTGCTTAATTTCATAGGCAGAAAATACCATCTTAATTAAATTTGTATTTCTTGGTGAGGTTGCATGTCTTTTAGTGCTAATTGGACATTTGACTTTATCTGTGACCTTACTATTCAAATGTGTCGTCTTTTTTTGTTGTTGTTGTTGTTGAGTTCTTGTGCATAGTCTCTGAAGTTCTTTGCCATAAACATTAAATAGAAAATGCATACCAATATTTCTCTAAGGGCCAGTGACCAGCAATGGTTTTCAAGAGTATGCTTTGTCATCATTAGTCTCCTAGTTTATTAAGACTTAGAGGGAATCTCTGTTCTTCTTATTAAAGTAAATCATATTCATATTAATAGTGTCTTAAAGTTGTAGATCAGTTGTGGTGATTAGTATTTTTCATATTTTCTTGGTTTTACTCTACTGCTTATAAGACCTTAAATTTTATCATTGTTTTCTGCATTTCCTTGGTTCTCTTTTATGTTTTGCTTAAGAAGTACAAGTGTCAATTGAGATAAAATTTTGACGTTTTAGATGGCACAGTCTGTATAATATTGACAGTATTGAATTTACTTTTGTATATTCAGCTTTCTTTTTCTAAAGTTTATTTACCCATTAATTGAATTCTGCTGACACAAAAGTTCTTATTTAAACATTAAACTCTTTCTGGGAGTTATAAAATAAACCAAAAAGTTTGACATGTAAAATTTTCTACTGCCTATGATACCCTTTTTAGATAATATTCTGTATATGAATAAACTTTTGAATAGATTCATAATCTCTGACATCTAAGAGTTGGAATATTGGGGAAATGTTTAATATTACACAGAGAGATTATAAGTAATACATATGTACATAATGTGTTTTGAGCTTTTACAAAACCTAATAGCTTTTTAAAAATCTAATAAAGCTGGGTGCAGTGGTATACACCTGTAATCAATCTCAGCTACTAAGGAGGCCGAGGCAGGAGAATCACAAACTAATTAGAATAAATTCTAGAAAGAGATTCACTAAAATGTTAAGAATGTTTATCCTTGGTGGTGGGAGAATAATCAGTTTAAAACTTTTACTCTAAAATTAACAGTAAAAATTGTTACTCTTCTATATTTAGTTTTTATAAGAAAAACTTTTCATTATCATTTTTGAAATATTTGATTTAGGTAACACTGCAGCCATAAGTAATGAAATTCTTCAGTTGAAAAAGACTATAAATATGGTTACTCCAAGTGATAGTCTTACTGGAGAATTTGGGCTAGAGGCTCTAAATTCTACTTTTAGGCTTTTAGTGGATTAAATAAAGGAATATCTTTTTTTGTTCGTTTGTTTGATTTTTTTTGATTGTTTTGAGACAGGGTCTTGCTGTGTAGCCCAGGCTGGCCTCAGAGTCACTGTATAGCCCAGGCTGGCCTTGAACTCACAGTGATCCTCCTGCCTCAGCCTCCAGAGTGCTGGGATTACATGTGTGTACCACCACACCCCCACCACACCCAGCAATAAGGGAAAATCTTGCTTTTCTAAAGGCTAGCCTTCCTGTACACTTGGGCTTCTGGAATAGCTTCTTTATTTCTAGATGGAGCTGAAATCATTCCACAGGAGAGGAGCCTTTGCTTTTACCTCTTCTGTGCACTCTTATCTCATTACAGTCTTGAGAAATAGGCAGTATGTACAATGTACATGAGACTATACTAAGGTACAGATTTACGCAAGGTCGCACAGCTAATAAATAGCAGAATAGTGACAGAGATATGATTACTCTGATTTCTACTTCTCTTTTAGGCATAATAGGCAGCCCCAGCTGTCTAATAAGCACCACGTAGAACTCAGCACAGTCTCTTATGAGAAGGAACAGAGGAGAACTGATTGGATGGTGATGGCTATTTGACCCCCTGCCAAGAAAAGATGGCACTGTGGACAGAAAGAAGCATGAGACAGGCGAGGGAAAAAGTGAAAAGTATGGCAGTAGTAGGTCTCAGGTAGTGTGACAAATAGTAATCACTCAGTAATGAGAAACTGCCAAAAACCTGTCCTCTTATTACAATACACAGATCAGCTGTTGATCTAGTCTAGGAAGAAGAATGGCAGTTGGAGTAAGGGCAAGCAAATATGTACACTCAAATTCATCAGTGTTAAGTATAAAGCATATTAGCTGCAGTATAACTATTATTAAAGGCAAAAAGTCATTAGTGCTAAGGGCTAAGTTAGCTGTAAGTAGTTCTAGGGTAAGCCTGGTGGTGCTCCTCTTTCAGACATCAGTTTCTTCAAAGATAGATAACAAGTTAGCTTGCTGAAGATTTGCCAGCTGTCTCTAGAGAGTTTTATAGTGCTGTCTGAGAAAGTTAAATCTTTGTCCTTAATATATATTTCCTTTTCTAGCATTACTAAATTAGTTAATCCAAGTTGTGTGCACTGCCCTTGGAAATACCAGTAGAATTGTGAAATTGGCTAAGGCCACCAACATCTTATTTTACATTTGAGATGTTTGAAATTCAGAGTTTCACTTTATTCAGTGGTAAACAGTCTTTGGAGTCCCAGGCCAGTGTACTTTTCCATTTCTGTAGAAACACTTCTTGGTAAGGTGTATACACATAATCTCAACCAGAAGGTTGAGAAACAATCTTGGGAAGGTTTTAGTGAAACCCCGAAATTAGTGACTGCAGGGAGTGTCTATTCAAGTGTCTATTTTCCTCAAATCTTAAGTAGCTGGCCTCTGTCTCACTGCTGTTTGGTAGTAGAGATAGGACATGAACCCAGACAGGCATTGTGACTGTAGAACCTGCTCTCTTAAGCACTTTGCTGTATTCCTGTTCCCTGTCGAAAGTTGGAATATTTTCCCATTCCTAAAGTGAGCTCCTGAGAAATTCTCCAGAATCACAAGTTTTGCCATATCTAATTTTTCCTGTCTTTAAAGTCTTATGTATTCCAAAATAAATTTAAGATACTCAAGATTATTCACATTCTCCTAATTATTATACCTCCATCCAGAATAAAAACCTTTGGCTCTAAACAAGCCATTCTCTTTTCTGTTTTCTAAAAGTAACTTACCCTAGCTTTTATCCAGCCCTCTGAACTTTTTTTCTTCTGATGTTCAGACCTTTTCTAATCTGCTTGGTGTTCTGAGCTGTGCATACATTCTTTGGGTACTTGAATGCATATTGACCTTTCTTATTCAACTCATTATTTTTTGTTCCTTCTACTCATTTTAGCATCTGATCAGGTGTTTTTTCCCTAAATGTACATATTTGTCATCTTATATCCTGTTTTCCACAGAAATTGTTTCTTTATTTAACGTGCATTTAGTGAATGCTGATGAGGGAGGAGGAAGTTTACTAGGTAGAGATTTTTTTTTTTTTTGAGACAGGGTCTCATGTAGTTCAGGCAAGTCTTGAACTCAGGGTGGTCCTCCTGCTTCAGCCTCCTGAGTGCTGAGATTATATGTACCGCCACCCCTGCCACTAGGCAGAGAATTTTGAAGCAAGACAAGGAAGTCTGTTGCAATTTTTGAGATGGTTATTTCAGAGAAAAGCTTTTAGCTCTCCTGAAACCTCCCTGTATGTGCCCACTGACAGTGCTTCTTGTTAGATTTTTGTGTTCTCGCTTCTTGTGGGAAGTCAGTTTTATTCTTTTTTCAGTCCTTATGAGCATTACTCCTTTACCATCTTCAGTCAGACCAGGATGATGGAGTTTGTGATGGCTTGCCAGTGCCAAAGTGGCCTTCCTTGTTTTCCAAAGGTTGAAACACCAGATGTTTTATTGAAAATTGTTTTAAAATTTCATGTGGCTCAAGGTAAGAGTTCATTTTTGTAAGCAAAAAAGATTCATTTGCCAGGAATTTAAGCTATATTTTAAAATAAGTTCAAGTCACTTAAAAATGCAAAGATGGGTTATATATTATGTTTCACATTCAGTGAGCATCTTGTACAAGTGAGAAATTCATAAATATTAGCCAAATACCATAATTCATTCTTGACTTGAAAACTGGCTATCACATACACACACACACACCCTTTTTTTCTTTGTAGGTAGTTCAGTTTTAAATTTTACACAGTTCAGGCCAAGCCCATGGTGGTGCACGCCTGTAATCCCAGCACATGGGAGGCTG